GGGGGGGGGATCGGACCATGGGCAGGGTATTTCTAGGGTATTGATGGTGTAATTTGCTTCGACCGAGTACGAGTATCTCAATGCCACTGAACAGGGAACTCTACAATCCTACCATGGAGTTATTATGGAATTCATCATAACCTTTTCCTCTCCCCCTTCCCTCTGCATTGAAAGTACAGATTATCTTCTCGCTCCCGTCCCAAGGCTGGAAGTGAAGAAGAAGAGCATTGAGAAGACGTGGTTGGTCAGTTTCAGAATGCCATCCGCCCCCCCTCCCCCTTTTTTTTTTTCCCGCGTCCCCCTCCCCCCTAAGAGCAGCCCCGGGACCTCGTGTTATAAGGGGCGCATATATACATGTACACATATATATACACACATATATACATATAGATACACACATATATACATATAGATACACACATATATACACATTATATTATATATATATATATATATGCCTTCTGGCACCGCTCGGTAGTGGAAACGTGCAATCTTTCTGAGAAAGGAGAGGAGGAGGAGGAGTAGTAGCAGGATAACGGATGGGAAAGTAGAAAAAAGGTACAGGTTACATTCGCATTTTCCATCTCAACATGGTATATGGATGAAACGTGTAGAGGAGAAACAGAAGAGAACAAAGAACAGATGATTGCATCTTTCTTTTCAACAGTCGAATACCATACATGGCATTGAGCTGAAGATGGCTCCGTCGACCCAATTTTCATCATAGTGCAGGACAAGAAGAAAAAGAAATTAAAATAGATAAATGAATAAGAAAGAAACTCGGGTCAAGGGAGAAGAAGTAGAGAGCGAGAGAGAGAGGAAGAAGAAAAAAAGCCTCCCAAAGGTATCAAAGTACCCGTATATTCCTTGCTAGACCACAGCAGTAGAGTAGACACGTTGCTTTGCTCTTCTCCTCCCCCTCTCCCCCCCATCCCCATCCCCAGGGCCTACTGGTAAAGTTGTCAATTCTTCAACACCATCTTTCCACATCATCACCCCATAATTTCTTCCTCCTTTTTTTTTTTCTTTTTTTTTTCCCTCTCCAAACGTCTTCTCTCTCTTCTCAACTCTCTCGACCTATCCCTCTCTCTCTCTCTCTCTCTCTTTTTCTTTCCCTCTTTTGATTCTCTCATCATATTTCCACTCTCCTCCCCGTCACTGTCGCGACAGAACTCGTCGAATCTCTCTCTCTCTTCTGACCGCATTCAACCAATCTCCCCCCCCCCCCCCCCCCCCCCCCCACGCGCACCGTTGTCTCACGCCCCGCATCTTCACTCTACGCTTCCCTCCCCGCCTGGAGCCTCCGTCTCCCCCTTGTTCCTGACTCGATCTACATCTATCTCCCCATCAATCTTGAGCGCCATCACTATACCATCGCAATCATGAAGGGTACGTCTCTCTCACTACACTCTGGCGTCGACATTTGGTCGGAAGGTGAGGGACAGTCAATGCTGAATCTCTCTCTAGGACTCATCCTCGTCGGCGGCTTCGGCACGCGTCTCCGTCCTCTCGTACGTTTCCAGCCTCCTCGCCAAGCTCGGCCTCCCGTGTCTTGACGGCCCCGGCTCGGCGCCCTGCTCGCCCCGATGACTGGATCGAGACTGACCGTGTCTAGACCCTCACCCTCCCGAAACCGCTGGTCGAGTTCGCCAACAAGTCGATGATCGTGCACCAGATCGAAGCGCTGGTGTCGGCGGGCGTGACCGACATCGTCCTGGCCGTCAACTACCGGCCGGAGGTGATGGAGAAGTTCCTGGCCGAGTACGAGGAGAGGTACAACATCAAGATCGAGTTCAGCGTCGAGTCGGAGCCGCTGGACACGGCGGGCCCGCTGAAGCTGGCCGAGAAGATCCTGCGCAAGGACGACTCGCCCTTCTTCGTCCTCAACTCGGACATCATCTGCGACTACCCCTTCAAGGAGCTGCTCGACTTCCACCGCAGCCACGGCGACGAGGGCACCATCGTCGTCACCAAGGTCGAGGAGCCGTCCAAGTACGGCGTGGTGGTGCACAAGCCCAACCACGCGTCGCGCATCGACCGCTTCGTCGAGAAGCCGGTCGAGTTCGTGGGCAACCGCATCAACGCCGGCATGTACATCTTCAACACGTCGGTCCTGGACCGCATCGAGCTCCGGCCGACGTCGATCGAGAAGGAGACCTTCCCGGCCATGACGGCCGCCAACCAGCTCCACTCCTTCGACCTCGACGGCTTCTGGATGGACGTCGGCCAGCCCAAGGACTTCCTCACCGGCACCTGCCTCTACCTCTCGTCCCTCACCAAGCGGGGCAGCAAGGAGCTCACGCCGCCGACCGAGCCCTACATACACGGCGGCAACGTCATGATCGACCCCTCGGCCAGGATCGGCAGCAACTGCCGCATAGGACCCAACGTCACCATCGGCCCCGGCGTCGTCGTCGGAGACGGCGTCCGCCTGCAGCGCTGCGTCCTCCTGCGCGACTCAAAGGTCAAGGACCACGCCTGGGTCAAGTCCACCATCGTCGGCTGGAACAGCACCGTCGGCCGATGGGCCCGCCTCGAGAACGTCACCGTCCTCGGCGACGACGTCACCATTGGCGATGAGATCTACGTCAATGGCGGTCGCATCCTGCCTCACAAGACGATCAAGGCCAACATTGATGTTCCGGCAATTATAATGTAAATTTTTGTCTTTTTTTTTTTGTTCTTTGGTCTCCTGTCTAAATATTCTTTTTTTCCGGAGGGGTACCCTTTTTTTTTTTTCTTCTCCTCTCCTTTCTCTTACTCTCTTCTCCTCTTTCGCTTTCTTCGCTTTATAAATATATATATATATATATATATATTTCAGATCCCCTCTTTCTCGTCGAACCCCCTTTTCTGGCCGTCAATTTCCTATTCCATTCTTGAAAGAGGTTAGGGGGTGGGGGAGGGGGGTTTCTTCTCTATTCCTCGAGTCCCTGATGCATTGGTTTCAGCATTCTGTTCTTCTCGTCTCTTGTTTTTTTACTTGATGAAACGAACCCGATACACACAACCTCTCTTCTTCCTCTTCTTCTCCTTCTCTTCTTTTCCTTCTCTTAAATCAAGGTCAAGAAGAAGAAGAAGGCTGCTATGAGTGAAGAAGTTATGAAAAATTATCCCAGTTCAGGACTTTTTCTTCTTCTTCTCTCTCTTCTTCCTTTTTACTGGTCATGACTCTTGGCTTGTTCTTGTCTCCCGTCTCGAGATCTGCTGTTTCTCTCGATTCTCTCTCCATACACGCTTCTCACTTTGACGAGGCACCGATTTTCTTGTGCGTCTTCTTGTGCTCTCGTTTCGCTTTTCAACATCAGTGACGAAGGAGAGGATAAAGGTTGTTGCTTCTTCACGTACGGGAATAAAGTGATGTAGAAAGTAAGAAGGAAGGAAAGAAGGAAGAAGGGAAGAGGAAGATGATGAAAAGAAGAGAAGGGGGGGGGGG